CCCCAAAACCCCAAAACCCCAAAACCCCAAAACCCCAAAACCCCAAAACCCCAAAACCCCAAAAAATAACTGCCAAATTGAATGTTAATTTAAGGAATACTTAATATCAATTAGGAGACTTCATTTTCTGCCTCCTCAAAAATGATCTCTTCACTGCTGAAATTGTATACATTTTGGGCTGAGATATTCACTTGTTGTAAATTACTAAGGAGCATCTTACTCTCCAAATTCCAGCTGTTCTCCATCTTGCTGGTATTGAGAATTGACGAGTACTCTTCACTAGAGTCCTCTTTAGTCCCGATGGAACTACTATTGGTAAGAGTGGAATGAGAGCTAGACTTTTGTAGGACTCCTTTATTTTGGGAAAACCTTCTTTGTGCTAAGCGCTTCTCAAGACTAAAGCTCTGAGAGCGAATGTCATTCTCTATCAACTTTGATCTCTCTTGTTCGGTTTTGTCGTAGTTCTTAATTATACATTTGTTTTGGTCTTTTGACTCCTCCTGCATCATCAAAATTTCCATTTGAAGTTTATTTAGAGTTAAGAGTTTTTGGCTTAAAGGAACTCTTCACCTTTTTCTGAAGTGATTTCTTCTTTCTCTCTGTTGGGTTTGACTTCATTTCTTGATGTACTGAAGGTTTATTAACCAAATTTTGTAACTTCTTGTAATAATTCTGGTATCTAGTCTGGTCCTTTCCCTCATAAACCTCAATGGCTTGTGAATAGAGGAAAATAAGTCTGTTAACATTGCTAAGGTCAAAACTGTTAGCCTCAACTTGCATTTCAAGGTCAAGGACCTCATCTGCAAAGCCTCTTGGAAGTTGTTTGGTTGCAAGGAATTGGCAGTTATCACCACCATTGTACTTCTCAATGAACTTGGAAGTAAATGTATTGTTATTATCACTTGCAGAAAGACATCTTTTCTTCTGACCAGTAACTGTATCTCTTCTTCTAATGTTACTTCTATTAATGACGTTATTTGCGGCCTCTTCCTCGTTCAGAAGGAATTTCTTGAAGTTGTTCCAATTCAGATTTATTTTCAAGCATCGGTTGGTCTTGGTCCTTACCAAGACCGGTGATGGTCGCGAAGAGAGACTTTATGTTGAACATTTTTAGTTGTTATTTTTAAATAAAGATGCAGTAAATGGGGTTTTGGGGTTTTGGGGTTTTGGGGG